TACAAAGTAACATCTCGACATACTACATTTGGTTTATTCATTCATCAGCTGATGGACATTTGGGCTATTTCCACCTTTTAGCTATTGTAAATAACGCTGCTATATACATTTACGGGTAAGTGTCTGCATGGATGTATGTTTTCAGTTCTCTTGGACTGGAAAATGTATTTGTTCTTGCATCTTATTAACAATATCAGTACCAATACTGATGAAGACCCTAAAACCTTATTGCGCCCACTGACTGGTTTTAAAAAAATAGGGAGGAAGCTGCTGGTGAAGAACACAGAGAAGCTAATTATTCTGCCCCTGGTCGCAGTATTGTGTAGGGGTAGGGAGGAAAAACTCACAGTTAACACTCAAGAAAATTAGCCATCAAAACTTTGTAAATTTAGGGGGAAAAATGATACCAAGTCACCTTTGTTTGAAATTCAGGAAAGGTTTTTAAAATTACCAATACATACTTGCATATACCGTCATTTTTAAAATGACCTAATTCATGACCTTACCTCGTGTCATCTAACTCCCTAGCAAAGACCATGTCCCCCCCGACTGAGTGGAATTAAATTCACCCAACTATTTCCCTGCCTCACCAAGAGGACTTGCAGCTTTGCTTTCAGAGCCTCAGAGGTGGGGGCTGGTGACATTTCTTTGGTCACAGCTAAGGCTCTGGACTCTGGGAGCTCTGTGTGGGAGACATGCAGAGCTACACTGCACTCTGGTACCCTACTGTCTGGGCGCTCTGGCCCTCTCAGCATCTCTCACCATATGAGTGTGGCTAAGACTGACACGCGGAGGTTGCTATGGACACGAGTAAATCCAAAGATGTGAAACTGCCAACGTTCATTCATTTCTGATCTGCAAAAGTGATGATTTCTTGTGGCTTGTGTGATTCAACCTGCCAATCTCTCATGTCCCCTTCCTTTCCTTCTGGTGTTCTTCTCCCTGCCTGTCTCTCCACTGGTCTTTAAGTCTACACCTTGCCCCTCTAATCCACATCCCATGTAAGTACCAATGTGCTCCTGCCACCCTTGACTTCAAGCCTTGCAGTGACTTCCTATCACCTTGCACATACAAAGGTCGAATCTTCTTGACCTGGCCAGAAGATACAGCTTCAGCTCCTGCCACTTGCCTTCTGCTCCAGTGGCGCCTAACACTGCCTGCGGTCCTTGCTTGCAGGCACCTGTGCTCTCATCTTGCTAAGCTTTGGCACCTGCTCCTCCTCCACAGAGAAGTCCTTCAGCGCAGCTCTCTCTCATCTACTTTTGACTAATCTTACAAACACTATCTCCGGAATTCTTCCCTGGGTCTCCAGCCTGTGTTAGGAGTCTTCCCTCCCCGCTCCCATCTCCTTGTACTTCTCTATTTTTGGCATCATAGTATTTTAGTCAACTCTTTGCATATTTGCCCGTCTTCCTTCCCGCCAACTGCAGGCTTCTAATACTTTCATCTGATTCATTCAACCTCAAATGCCAGGGTAGAAGAATCAACAAACTAAGCAGTGGTACTGTGGCTCAGTTTCCCTGTTTGGCGTCTAGAAGCTTAGTATTACTCTTTGGCTTTCTCTAAGCCTTGTTTGCTCCCCGGACAGAAAGGAATGATTCTGAGGGATCTTCCAATTGAGGTGGTCTAAGAAACCAAAATATGAATTCTCACCCTTCTAGATCCATGCGCTGGGATACTGTGTGGATTCAAGAAAACAGATGGCAGAGGAAGTCTCCAAGGCCTGCTGAGGATGATTATTTTCTGTTCTTTTTAAAGTTTTATTTTTAACTCAGCTAGTGTTTGCAGAACACCTACGACGCTAGTGCCAGTATTAGGCACAGGCGCCTGATGCAAAATTGTAAATAGCAGTTTCCCCGGATTCCGCGTGATTGCTGCATTACCAGCTTATCTACAAATGCCTGCGCAACTGCTACCCCTCTGGCTGTTCACTTCCGCCAAGACCCGCGGGTGCGCTGGACGAAGCTGGTCCAAGTCCCCAATTTGTCGCTGCTCCCCCAGCTTCGTTCACGGGGGAACCAGCGA